CACCATTGCAACTAACTGGCAATTGCTCAGCACCAGCCACACTTAACTGGTAGCCAATGGGGTCCCCTGTTGAACCAGTTGCATTGAAGTGGTGAGCCACTTGGATCCCCCTTTGGAATATAAGGGTTTACCCATTGATTCGAACGGGATAATGTTCAATGGGTGGCGAAAATCCTACTGGTCCAACACCCATTGATTTTAAATGGAAATTTTCCAGTTGGACCCATTGAATATTTTTGACTGGGCTCTTTGTGAAAATATTTCATCTCCGCCAGTAGAACATATCAGAACGTGTTGTTGGCCTAGTTGGCTCATACGGGGAGAAATACAACTCCAGCTAGCTGAAGAAACAAGGACAATGGGAAAGACAACTCTTTCCTTCTTTTCTTGTATTTACTTGCACTGTGTTGTTACCTTTATCCATAGAACAGTATATGCCATTTTCTAGTGCTTTGGAAAGAGTGAAAGCAGTTCCCATCGTCCTTCGCCACATTAGCCTTTTGCGGTCCGTTTAGTGGCGCCTGAAAAAGCAATACGGTGGCAGCGGTGTGTGGTTGGGCACTGCTGAGCTAGTTTTTTTTGTGTGTTTCATTCACGCGCATACGTTTTCTCACAGCATTATACGCCATCTGCAAAAAGTTTTTTTTTTTACTTGCGCTTTGAGTCATTTAATTTAGGGCTACAATGTGGAGAAATATTTTGAACAGCAAAGCGTTAAATAGGAATGGAAGTAAAATACTTAGGGAGTGTAGTGTATTTCTGTGAACCGCATGCATGGTAAAGTGTGTTTTGCGCGTGCATAGTACATAACTGCTCAATGAATAAAAAAAAAATCTGGTACCTTTCCTGCTCCGAACCTTCGACGTAGCCGAATTCCACACTTTTCAAGGTTTTATTTTTGCGCAGCATCGTGGAAAACACCTTGACCGCACTGACGTCGATGCTGTTTCTCGTCAGACATATTGTTTCGAGAGAACGATTTGCCTCCAGCCCACGGGCAAGTGTCCGCACTGAGTCGTTGTCGAGGTGGGCATGATCGAGTATCAACTTCTTCAGCCCGGTGTTTTTTTCCAGGGCTGTCGCGAGGGAGTCTGCAGTGCCAGCGTAGATGTTGCAACCGTTCAGGTCCAGGCACTGCAGTGTCGAGTTAACGGCGAGTGCTTCAAAGAGAACTTCCAGCCTTCCCCCGCACTGGCAAACGTGAAGTTGTATGAGGGACGTGTTTACCTTGAGGGCCTCCGACAGGGCGTAAAGGCTGACATTGTTGCCTAGGCTCTCGTTGAGCGCCAGTTTTGCCAACGACTTTGACGTGCGCAGCAGCTTCGCGAGGTAGGCCACGTTTCTTGTTGACAGGCTGTTCTCAACTATGGAGAGCTCGCTCAGAAAGCGACAGCACTGCAACGCCCGCAGCAGGCTGTTCATGGTGTCGCGCAACATGCTGTTGTCAGCGAGGGTCAACGCAGTCAGCTGGCACGCGTTTCGTACCAGCAGGTTGGTGAGAAAAAGCGACATGGACCGCCTGACGGGCAGGCAGCAGAAGGTGATGCTCTTCAGGTGTCGGAGACCCTCCAGCGCTTCCGAGAGCTCTTCCCCGCAGAAGATGCTGGTTCCGCGCCAACCGTAGAGCTCGAGGTGCTGGAGGTTAGCGCTATGGCATAGCGTCAGCGCCACGTTATAGTTCAGTCTACATAAAAACCACATCATTTCGCCGTCCAGCTTGATGTGCTGCACGCAGCGGTGTACCTTCGGCAGCTGGCGGATGACGTAGACGGCGGTGCGCACGTCGTCTTCAGAGTAGTACAGACGCCGCGTGGTGCTCGTCGAGAGGATGGCCAGGCTACCCGGCATCGTTTCGACCAGTTCGAGGCTGCCCGGGTGCAGCACCTTGTTCCATCGGTCCAGGTCCCGACGCAGCCAGCAGTCCCGGTGCCTGGGCCTGTACTGGCAGGCGCGCTCGAAGCTCAGACCGCGTTCCGTGAGGCGGGCCTTTACGTCATCGATACAGTAGAAGGAGATGCTCTCGCTATCGCTGGCGTACGGGTCTTCCGATGGGAGGGCCTCGACCCCGGTTGCGTCTTCGGTTGTCATGGCGTCGTAAAGAGTTTGTTCGGTCAACCGAGACCCGCTCGCTGTCGATGTTCACAGGTCAGTAACTGTGCAACGGCGCTGACTGCAAGAGCCACCCGTGATTGGGTCAATATGGCTGCCACGCGCCCGTGGGATGTCTCGTTTCACATGCTCCTCGCGATCCTCAGGGAACCCGACAACGAGAAAGTTGCGATCGTACAATATGTGCACCATTGTGCGCCTACCCAACGGGCGTCTTCACGCTTCTTTGAAGGCCTCACAACGTGTTCGTGCGCCAATATATATTTAGCCAGATTTCGAGAAATAAGAATAAAATATTTGCGACCTAAAATGTAATTCCGGTGCTCTACAGCACAGAAAACACTTAACGTACGGAACCCAAGCGATGGCAACGAGTGCTGAGGTACCTAATCCCAATAACTTATAAAGGCCATTTTGAAATTATGAACGAATTATTTTATGTATCAATTACGGCACCGTTCATTTCATGGCCGATACCCCATGGTGGGTTGCGCCAAGATAAAGGGGCAATTAATCTATCCTGCCACCTGGTTCTTGGCCGATGCCACTTCATGGACGAGCCAGAAGTACGAGAAACATCATCATCATGTAGCAACATTTTGTAGTTATATATAGGCTAGACATTTTCTTGGCGAACCCCCCAGAGTGGGTATGTGCCAGAGATTGACAGGCAACAAACAAGCAAGCTCAACTCGCCACTTTAACCTAAAATCCAATTTTTGTGTCAAATCAAGAATGACCATGCTCGAGCCATGTGCATTTAGGAATCACTCGCGTCGGGGAGTGCCAGATCGTCAATGCTTTCTGTTTGAGAAAAGGGATATGTCGGTAGAAGCCTCTGTCTGATACTTGAGTGCACATATCATTGAGGTTTTCGTGGTCGACTGTACATACGCTTCCAATGAGTGCTAACTTTCGCGGTCGACTGTACATATGCTTCCAATGAGTCCGCTCAGTGGTCGACTGCACAAACGCTTCCAATGAGTCTGCTAACTTTCGTGGTCAACTGTACATTGGCTTCCAATGAGTCTGCTAACTTTCGCGGTCGACTGTACATACGCTTCCAATGAGTCCGCTCAGTGGTCAACTGCACATACGCTTCCATTGAGTCCGCTAACTTTTGTGGTCGACTGTACTTACGCTTCCAATGAGTCCGCTAACTTTCGTGGTCGACTGTACATACGCTTCCAAGGGGTCCGCTAACTTTCGTGGTCGACTGACTGTACATACGCTTCCAATGAGTGCTAACCTTCGTGGTCGACTGTACATACGCTTCCAATGAGTCCGCTCAGTGGTCGACTGCACATACGCTTCCAATGAGTCTGCTAACTTTCGTGGTCAACTGTACATTGGCTTCCAATGAGTCTGCTAACTTTCGCGGTCGACTGTACATACGCTTCCAATGAGTCCGCTCAGTGGTCAACTGCACATACGCTTCCATTGAGTCCGCTAACTTTTGTGGTCGACTGTACTTACGCTTCCAATGAGTCCGCTAACTTTCGTAGTCGACTGTACATACGCTTCCAAGGAGTCCGCTAACTTTTGTGGTCGACTGTACATACGCTTCCAATGAGTGCTAACTTTCGTGGTCGACTGTACATACGCTTCCAATGAGTCCGCTCAGTGGTCGACTGCACATACGCTTCCAATGAGTCCGCTAACTTTCGCGGTCGACGGTACATACGCTTCCAATGAGTCCGCTCAGTGGTCAACTGCACATACGCTTCCAATGAGTCCGCTAACTTTTGTGGTCGACTGTACATACGCTTCCAATGAGTCCGCTCAGTGGTCGACTGCACATTCGCTTCCAATGAGTCTGCTACCTTTCGTGGTCAACTGTACATTGGCTTCCAATGAGTCTGCTAACTTTCGCGGTCGACTGTACATACGCTTCCAATGAGTCCGCTCAGTGGTCAACTGCACATACGCTTCCGATGAGTCCGCTAACTTTTGTGGTAGACTGTACTTACGCTTCCAATGAGTCCGCTAACTTTCGTGGTCGACTGTACATACGCTTCCAAGGAGTTCGCTAACTTTCGTGGTCGACTGTACATACGCTTCCAATGAGTCCGCTAACTTTCGTGGTCGACTGTACATACACTTCCAAGGAGTCCGCTAACTTTCGTGGTCGACTGTACATAAGCTTCCAATGAGTGCTAACTTTCGCGGTCGACTGTACATACGCTTCCAATGAGTCGGCTCAGTGGTCGACTGCACATACGCTTCCAATGAGTCCGCTAACTTTCGTGGTTGACTGTACATACGCTTCCAAGGAGTCCGCTAACTTTCGTGGTCGACTGTACATAAGCTTCCAATGAGTGCTAACTTTCGCGGTCGACTGTACATACGCTTCCAATGAGTCGGCTCAGTGGTCGACTGCACATACGCTTCCAATGAGTCCGCTAACTTTCGTGGTTGACTGTGCATACGCTTCCAAGGAGTCCGCTAACTTTCGTGGTCGGCTGTACATACGCTTCCAATGAGTCCGCTAACTTTCGCGGTCGACTGCACATACGCTTCCAATGAATCCGCTAACTTTCGTGGTCGACTAGACATACGCTTCCAATGAGTCCGCTAACTTTCGTGCTCGACTGTACATACGCTTCCAATGAGTCCGCTAACTTTCGTGGTCGACTGTACATATGCTTTGTATGAGTCCACTAACTTTCGTGGTCGACTGTACATACGCTTCCAATGAGTCCGCTAACTTTCGTGGTCGAGTGTACATACGCCTCCAAAGAGCATGCGCTCGGGCGTGAATCATGCAATGCGCAGACTTTACGAATTCCAGCCCCTGTCTGTTGAACAAATAATGGTTGCACGGCATGACCAAGGCGCTCAAACAAATGATGCGGAAAGGTCACAGTTGACACAAAATAAACGCAAGGGAATTCACATAGACACAGTATTTATTCTATTTTCACATAGGCACACAACGAGAGACTACAATACGTGAAGGTGGGTCGCGCCAGTTTAACAAGGGTCAACCAACCAACCAACATTTACTGTATGCATGCGCACATTTACACGGAGCTGTTTGATCTCCACCCCTTCGAAAAATGAAATCCTGGCAATGCCCTATACTACCAGCAGTTGAAATGTTTGCATGCACGTATTTACAGGAAGATTCTATCTCCACCCCTTCAAAAATTTAATCCTCGCAATGCTCTACTACCAGTAATTCGCTGACAAACAAAATGAAATGCAAGTAAAAATAACGCTTCATACAAGTGATAATTGAGTATAGCTCCACATGAATCTTAGTTCCCTTCTTGGGGATATCACAGAATAAACATGGAATGAAAGTTCATGGCAAAATGAGGGCAAGGTCACAGTTATGCACTCAGCTGTATGGTAAATTATAACACACCAGATTGAAATATATTAAAATGATTAAAATGAAACAGGCAGCAGACATGTATATAAAAGGCAGGTCATTTTTTTACTGGTTTTGCAGACTAGAAGGTGATGAACGCCTTTCATAAACTATTGTGAATGCAGTGTGGTATCAGAGCTAGCTAAAAAGCTCCCATAAAGTGCAGAAATTAGTCGTAATTCAGCACACAGTGGGTTGAAAAGCGAGCAAAATAGTTGGCAGTGCTCAATTGGCATGTGGTTCCTGTCGCTAGGAGTTTATATCATAGCAAAGGTGGCCGCGCACTTTTGAGGCACATGAGGAGGAACTTGTCCTTTTTTGTGTGTGTTTTTGGCATGTAAAACCCCAGAAATCCTCAATTTAAGTGTTTGACTAAAGCGGAAGATCGTAGAAAAGAAATTACATCATGTAGTTAGTTGTTACGGCTTATGTGTACCTCATCTCCCTATGCTACCTTGACACTACCCTTACTTGTGTTGGGAAAGGGCAGAGGTTTCCCCATTGGGCTTAGTGAACTGTGTCGGCAGTCTAATTGCAGAACTGAAGCCGTATTCTGAGACCATCACTAATGGAGATATGGCCATAACGCTTGCAATGCACACTGACTGGCTGATTGAGGAAAGGTGGGCAATAGACAGTTTGCAAAATAGCTACTGCAAAGGCACACTCATGATTGTTTTCCCCATGAACAGCCTCGACTACAAGCTGCAAGGAAAACCATTTTTCCCATTCACAGTTATTCCGTGCCTTTCCTTCCCCCCTTCCTCTCTGTACAGAAGGCAATGTACAATGACGTTTGAAATTTCTGCCGCACTGCTTGGAAAGCCTTGGGAGCTGCTGGGACACATTCACAGGAATATAGAGGAGTGAACCCTCTCAAAGCAAGAACAGCAGTCTGAGAACAAGAGGTTTTGTGTGTAAAACATTTTTGCGGGAAAGCCAACTTACAGATGTCTGCAAGGCATATGCTAGGAGGCACTCAAGATTTTGCAAAAGTGTCAATTACTAGTTGCTTCAATCGCTAGAAGAGTGACGGCCTACGCCATTCAAAGCAATCGCTGTTGCTGAAATCTTATCTCAGAACATCGGCCGTCCTTCAGGGCCTCTTTAGATCCCCTGCAAGGGCTTTACTCAGTCTCATTTGAGATTCAAGACATCATGCGCATAATTTTATGATTATGGCAACAAAGCATGACGTCAGTTGCAAAATTGCCCAAGTTCACAGCTCTCTGTCGTTGTATTGCTATGATTTCTGTCAGCTGGCAGAGCCTACAGACAGTGCATTTCAGTGCTGCTAGAGCCCATCAAAAAAAGTGCTGGTGTTTTACGCGACAAAACCTCAATATAATTATTAGGCAAACTATAGTGGGGGTCCAAGTAACTTTTACCACCTGGAATTTTTTTAACATACAGCTATACATGCACCTACGTGGCTCGTTTTTACGAATGTTGCCCCCTCAGAAATATGGCCACCTTGGGAACCAAAGCCGCATCTTTGAGAAGGCTGCACAACACGTAAGCTAGCACGCTTTGCCATGAAACTTAGCTACCTTGCCACAGTAATCACAATTTTCACAGCGACACAACGTCCTTAATGGCGCGTTAAGCGTAGTTTCCTGACACGAAAAAAGCAGGGCAGGGTTGTTGTACTGCACTTTACAACTGGATAAGCAACACCAAACTCTTTAAGTGACTACCAAAATGCACAGCCATTTCACTTTATTTGACTAATCACTTGTAGCAATTACTGATGACTAGACAGACAGCTGAAAGTAACATGTCCTACATATGTGCAGTCAGTTCTCAATCACCTTTACATGGAACAGATGATTCACTCAGATACACTGCACCACATATTTCACAAGTATAAGTGACTTCGCTTTCTCATAGCTGGCAAAGCCCACAACTTTTAGAGGAATGAAGTCAAGGCCACCTGCTAGGTACCATGACGCTGACTTTCAAGAGAAAGCTACTGTGGCATTATATTACAACAATGGCAGCACAATTAACAATGCTACCAAAAGCAAAGCTACCATTTGGTATATATAGGAAAGCACCGTCAAAGAGACGACTTGCAATGCATGTGGCACCTCCTTATTTACCAAGTGTCAAGACAATCTTATTGTAAGTTAGTGCCAGCAATAAGTACATCATAAGATAGTTAGCAGTAATACGAGCTTGTTTCTGCACAATGCATGAATAAACACGTGAAGCACCAGCAAATTAAATGTGTTTATTACGGAGTCTAACAGGGCTGTCGTCTGCTACAAGAACAACATCTGACAGTTTCAGATACTGAGTAATAGCGCACAGGCAGTCACTGTGGAGCCTGTCAATCTGTGTGCCCGTGCCGGGGTGGCACTCCAGCTTTCCCTTCACAACGCCAGTGAGTTCGAAGTAGTGTTCCTGAATGTAAACTTTTGCCGACTTGACGGCCCACCTTGCCCTCTCTTCGGTCTTCTCTGTCACCTTCATCACATACGGAACAAACGACGCATTGTCACTTAGAAGCTCGAACGTCTCGGCGGCTTGTCTGTTCAGCCTCCGGCACGTAAGCAAGCTCACCGCTAGGTTCAGAAGACTGATGTTTCGTCGGAGCGTACTGAAGACGCGGAAAGAGACGTGGTTTGGATGCGGCAGGCAGGTTAGCGTGAAGTGCACGACAGAGTGGTTCTTCAACAAGCCGCGCGAAATAATGGCGAGGCGCTTGGTAGGCGTATACTGAGAAAGTCCCAGCTCCAGCCTGGTGACTGCCGTGTTCTTGGACAGCATGTAGGCGATGGACTTGAGTGATCTCAAGCTTATATGGGAGCTTTTGAAGCATACCCGAGTAACCGTGCGGTTTGTTGCGAGTGCCTTGGCGACCTTGCCAAACAGCCCTTGGTCAGAAGCGTCGATGCTTATGCCGACTTCGAGATCCTGGACCGTTCGATTGGACGCGAGTGCAGAGCACAAGGCAGTGGCAATTCGTCTGCGGTCCACCGTTGTCTCTATTTTTACAGTTTTCACGTGGCCATTTGTGGCGAGGTTTTCGAGCAGTGCACAAATGCTGTCTTCGGTGAGATCGTTCGCGTCCCTGAGGTGGAGCTCTGTTGGAGACTCGGAAGCAAGCGCCAGGGCTGCAGACAGTGGGGGAAGGTCTGGCTCGGCCCAGGGCATCTGGATGCGGCTGTAGCCTTTGTCTTGGGCCATTTGAAAGGACAGGGTTAATCTGCATTGAAAAGCCCAGAGTTGATAGTTGTGCAAAGGTTTAAAAGATTTTTCCACAATATGCACTGATACCCATGCGTGTAGGAACTGCTGCATTACAATTCTAGCCACAAATTTTGAGGTCTTTCCAAAACCATGAACAGGTTGTTTAGTAGAGGCTGTTACTAGTTTGATAGGACCACTTTTTGGCCCAAATGGGATCTGCTACATGATGCATTTTGCTACAAGTTACCACTTGGATAAAAAAAAAACAAAAAAAAAAAAACAGATGAATGACAGCACTTCTAAGTGATTAGTTGGAATTGCTGCCTGTGTCGTTGTATGTCTTCTTTTTTTTTGTGTGTGTTAAAGGGGCACTGACACAAATTTCATGGCCGAGATAGCTTGTGGGGTCGATTCCCAAGAATATTCGCATATCATCTGCAAAGTATCAAAAGCGAATATAGCTGGGAAAGTATTTTAAAATAATTTTGAAGTTTGCGTGAGCCCTTGATTCCATCGCGCCATCAACACCACCGAAGGGGACCCTGAGGTGACCCCTACTTCCCCCATGTCACCGCGCTGTAGTCAACAAAACAAGTTCTGTTGACGCCACAGCCGCCAATTTTTTTTTCCTTTTTGCCACGTTTGTTCTCGCAGTCTATACTTTCCTTTTTGGCAGCTGGTTGCGATTGCGTGGCCGTGGCGCACGCTTTGAAAGATCTGTGTTTGGCGACACTGCAGTAGCATTTCCTATTCCAAAGTAATTCATCATGCGTACCGTGCGGAAGTGAGTCATAGTTCTGTGGTGACGTGGTCAAGATCTGCACAAGCTAGATGGCGGAAGTTGCACCCAGTTTTCGGAGCTCTCTCAAACCAAAACTGATCGATAAAGAAGAGCCTGTAGTTAATTATCTGTCGCGGCTGCAGCAAACGATGTATCGTGTAATGACTAACAGGCCCCAGCAACACATTGCAGCAGAAAAATGTGAGGCCAAAGTTTTTGTGTCAGCACCCCTTTAACTTGTGGAAAGATACAGTTCAATTCAGGTAGGCCTCATTATGAATACACCTCTACGTAGGCATCTATCCAAAACATGTACCAAGGACATTCACTGGCCCCAGTAAGCATAATAGGAAACATTATTGAGCTAGTTGCTGAAGGTATAGGATTTCTGCTTCCTGGACATGCATTCTTTTTCCCTCTGTGAGGAAAGGAGAGCAAGCTAGCAAAGGCTGAACTTGGTTGCCACACTATGAATCAAACAATGTATTTATTCTTCGTAAATTTATCGTACCTGCTTGTTAAGGCAAGGTTTGTTTTAGCTATCGAATTGTGAGAAAGGAAATCCTAAGGTGGCTTTCAAAAATTGAGAAGTTGATGACCAAGTCGCACATTTTACATTTGCGACTGAGAGTGATTGTGATCGAGCTTAGTGGTTCTGATTGGTTCCCTCTTGCAGCACGTGCAAAGGAGGCTATTAAAGTTTAGAGATTTGCTGCTGAATGAACTCCTCGCTCACGACTAAAAGCGCACTGTGCTGTCAGGTTTTACTCCGGGTTAGCAGAACAAGTGTCCCCAGGCAGTTTAGATGACGCTTAACCCCTATGTATGCTTCAGTCCCCTATATGTAATGTACTTGTGTAAAACATTCAATCAAGCAAAATTTTGGACTCAATTTGTTTAGCTTTGGCAACGCAAGTGATGGCATTACTCACTGTTCTCGAATGTTGGAGTAGTTGCATTCTACCACGTTCAACAACCTTGAAACGAAATTACCTTAAAGTGTCTGAAAGGGATCGACAACCCGTATTTAGGGTAGCTGTTTACTTTAGTGCGACGGACAGCTTACTGCTTAGTGTCTAGTCATAAAATGACATGTGGAAAATTCTGTGAAATATTTATAATTGAAGTTTTTCAACTTGTAACGACTGTGTGAGACACAACACATGCTACAAGCAGTGCCGCGAGGTGAGCGTGACAGGGGTTCGTGTTCGTGCACGGTGGTTTGCTGCAAATGCGTGCATTCCATAAACATGCTCCACTGCATGATAAGTGGTGCTAATGTTGCCACAATGGTGGCGCTGTTGCTCAGTGGGAACTTTTTAGCAGCACGGCATAGAGCAGGGATGGATAATAATACACTTAATCTAATTCCAAGAACAAATTATGGTGCATATACAAGGATCAGATTACATACAGTGGTCAACTCTGATGCCTAGAATGATGCAGCGTTGTGCTCGGAAATGCACAAGCTACATTGGCAGTAATAAATACGCCACATCTGAGCATGCGTGGCACCAATGCAGTGCAATTTAAGCTTCACCATGAGGAATGCGACTATCCCTTTGGCTATTGAAAGCATTATGAACAGACGGTGCAGAAACAAAAAACACGAAAAAGCGAACATTTGTCGGTATATGATAGTGCAAACTGAAAATAAGTTCACAGTATAAAATTTGGTGCCAATTGAGGCGGTCACAGTTTTCTTTCGCGTTATACTGTTGACAGCACGTCTAAATGCCTAAACAGTCATCATGGCCATGGTGAGAGACAAGGATGAAAATTGCAAGGCCGGCACATCATTGGCACCACGAATTCTGAGATGTGGAATGTTTGGAACTGCAGACGTAGCTCGTGCTGTGAGTGCGATACACCTGTCATTCTGGACGTGTGTTGACCACTGTAATGTAAGCTACGCTGCAGCATCAAGGCTGTTCCACTCGGCCGTTCGACATACAGGTTTCTTGCAACTTTTGAATGTACTTTGAAGACATATTCCTCCTGAGATTGCGAAAAGGATGCCTGAATCTGACACTACAGCTTACAGTGTTTTCATTTTAACCATGATCTTATCATATGTCCTGGCCAACTGTCGGTTCCTTTAAGACTGACACACATTCCTGCAAACCACAGGAGCCAAAACCGCGCACTTTATGCGTGCAGAGCTTTGAGCAAACCCGCACATCGGACAGGGAAATGTGTTCACCTCTCTTGCTCCGAGCCTTGTACTTCTGAAAACATCACACTCTTCAGCGTCTCGTTCTTGCACAGCATTCTGCAGAACGTGCTGACGGCGCCGGCCGAAACCGCGTTGTTCCTCAAGTCCAGCGTTTCGAGAACGCGGTTCGTTTCCAGACCGCGAGCGAGTGCTACTACGGCGTGGTTGTCGACGTGAGCACCGTTCAGTTCCAACTTATTCAGGTACACATTGTGCTTCAGGGCCGCCCCGAGGGCCTCCGCGTTGCTGCCGTAGATGTTGCAACCGTTCAGGTTCAAGTGCTTTAGCGCGACTCTGTTGTTCGCTAGCGCTTCGAAGAGGCACTCGAAGCGCGTCACGCATTGGTTAATGTGGAGCTCCAGAGGAATTGTGCTGGTCTTGAGGGCCTCGGCGAATGGGTAGATGCTGGGGACGTTCCTCAGGCACCGGTCGAGCGTGAGCTTGGTCAAGGCGTACGAGAACCTCAGTAGCCTCGCTACAGAGTCCGCGTTCCCCTTGGTGAGGCTGTTCTCCACGATGGAAAGTTCTCGAAGAGCGCGACACCGCTGGAGCGCTCGCAGCAGACGGTTGGCAGGTGTTCTGCGACATGCGATTGTCGGATAGCGTAACGGCCGTGAGGTGGCTGGCGTTCCGTGTGAGCAGGTTCGCCAGGCATCGTGACATGGACGCCTTATGGGCAAGGAGGCGAACTTGAAGCTCCTGAGACGCTCGAGGGCATCCAGTCCTTCGCAAAGTTCCTCTTCGCTGAAGGGCGTTTCGTGGCCTCCCACAAGCTCGAGCTGTTGGAGGTTGACGCTCCGGCCTAGGGCCAACGCCAGCGTGAACGCGGGTCGGTAGAACAGCACCATTCCTAGGCCTTCGAACGTTTCCAGGTTGATGCGCTGCACGCACCGATGCGCCTTCGGAAGCCAGCAGAAGACGTACGCGCCGTCGTACAGCTCGTCCTCGTCGCTGTACTCTCGCTGACAAGTCCGCGTCGAGAGGATCGCCAGCGCTCCCGGTTTGGTCTCCTCCAGTTCGAGGCTCACGGGGTGCAAGACTCGGCTCCATCTGTCCAGATCGTGACGCAGCCAGCAGGACGCCGTGTTGTTCTTGTCGTCGTATTCGCAAGCTCGCTCGAAGTCAAGGCCTCGCTTAGTTAGCCGGGCCACGATTTGTTCGGGGTAAGACGGCGCGTTGTCGTTCGCGGCTGTGTCGGCTGTGTCACCCGACGCGAGTCCCTCGACCGCCTCACCTTTTTCAGCCGTCATTTTGTTGCGAAGCGCCGCTGTCCTGATCGTGGAAAGATTCACCGAACACACTTTGACACAACGACAGGCGCCCAAACTGTAAAGCACAGAACAACTACCAGTTGGTAGAAGCTTGCGGCTGTTGGTCCGATCAGATCAGGTCCGTTCACAAGCGATCGGATAGGATAGGACACGCTCGCACTGGCGGCGTGACTGCTCTTGCGTTGATATTTCGTACGGTTCTGTCAGCTCTCCAGCTAACGGTTCTGTTAGCGAAAGTGCTAGCTCTCCGGCTAGCACTTTCGTGTGGTCACAGAACACCTAGTGTGGTTGTGCAGTTGCGCCAGAGAACCGCTGCGATTGCACCACGGCTTGGAAAAAAAAAAAAAAAAAAGCAGCGCGGCAAAACGCCAAGTTTCGGTTTCGATTCTCCGCCACTGCTGGGTTCAATTATTGAAGGCTTTCGCTCTCCGCCCCACTCTACAATGTGATCACGAGATCGTGAACATGATATCCTCCCCTACGAACGTACGATAACATGAAATATAACAAGACAATTAGGTTATACACCTCGTAAAGAAAGAAGAAGGAGGACTGCTTTGTGTTCCTATTTTGCTTCATACTTTCTTCCTCCATGATCGTTTCTCTCTCATGACCTCCGAGATGAAGGCCTCAAATCTCAAAGGCCACGCCTGTGAGAGCAGGGCCCATAAAGTTGCATAGTTTCATACAATAGCATTACAATGATGCTGCTGAGCGCGCGGCGCGCGCACACACACACACACACACACACACACACACACACACACACACACACACACACACACACACACACACACACACACACACCACTTCTGATCTTGTGGCCCTCAAGTCGATGATCAATGCTGCTAGCTACTGGACTGTTGCAACACGTGACTATCAGCGTGGCATGCACAAGCTCAGCCCAGCGTCTCATTAGCAATGACATAATTAACTGTAATAACACATTTAAAAATAAACGAGGTGTGACTCATTTATTCTTATGCAGTTTTCGATGCAGCTGTATGAAGCTGCAGTAACAGTCGTATTGGTCCCAAAACACTTGGATGGCCATTACAGAAAGTCCGACCTTGAAGCCCATAACACTGTAGAGCCCATGTTCGTCAACAGCTACTTTGGGATGCATTAATTTTGAGTGCACCACTGGTAAATGTCAACGAAATAGACGGGAACCTTGCTCTGTACTGGCTGTGCTGTTCTAATCTCTCATCAAACTGATTTGTATATTTTAGTTGTGCCGCCATAAGGCATTTAGTTTGAAACTTCAAAAAGGGAAAAAAATAATCTAAAATTGGTTTCTACAGAACTGAATGGACCTGAATTTTCCTGAATGGACCAGGAAAAATATGTTATGTTTTGGGGAGTTCCGTATCCCTGCTCACCTCTATGCAGATAGAATTCAAGTACTGAATTAATCATAGTAGGGGCAGCTGTCCCACTTTAACAGGCTAGGTCTGTTTACAGAGTCGACTGCACTAATGCTGCTTCTTAAAAAAAAAAAAAGTAGTCCAACTGCAAAAAACTATCCAGTCGTGTATTCCGTGAACGAATAATCCAGCAGTAGTACTCGCCAAAGACTTAGTTCTGCAAAAGTTTCTCTTGCAGCACTCAAGGCCAGCTTGTGAGAGAACAGCTGACATCTAAATTCTGGAGTATTACTTGCCAAGTCCGCAGTATGGCAAGGAGACATGTCGAAATGAGACTGGAGTGACCTTGACTGGCTGGGTTTTTTAACACGTGCCTTAACATCAGTACACAGGTGTTTTTTGCATTTGGCCCCCTTTGAAGTGCTGCCGTTGTTGCTGGGAAGGAAAGCTGGATCTTTGAGCATAGCAGTGTGACGCCTTGCTTATTGAGCAGACACAGCAGTGCACAGTTGCCAACCGATAAATTGGACATGCTCGGTAATTTGGACAGCTGCGTGCGTGACACTGTCAATGGCCCCTTTGAACTAACGCTTAAAAATGACCGATATTTCTGACAGCTGCCAGATCTGCATTTGAGAAGCTATGTCCGAGGAGTGCACACCGAATCTGCAGCCATTATCCCCTGCAATACCCCTACCATACAAAGTATGGCCTCACAGATTAAAAACGAAAAAGCCAACTGGTGATCTGCAAGGCCTTACTTAGATTGCCTCACATCCGTCAAGGCATTCAGCGATTGTAGACTGCCTCGTTGCATATTCTGAAAAATTAAACTAAGGGAAACTTTTTTTAAACAATTGATACTCTTGACTGCTCGTTGAAAGCCACACAAGAAGCTTGGAAAACACATGCACACTTTCCTAAATGCGAATGTCAAGGTGACGAGGCTTTTAATAGTACAACAATATCATTACTATAAACAAAGATTCAACTGGTGAACAAGACGGAAGGTTCAACATAAAACCTCTTTTTTGACAGTACGTAAAAAATACATCGCTTGATGTAATCAATCACAACATATGCTTTGTAAAAACCTGTAGTAATCAATTGCAACATATGTTATATATAATATTTGCTAATCCGCTGGATAATTCATACCATTCAACACAGCAAAATGAACTGCTAGGCAGACTAAGGTTGGACAATTTATTTTTGTACACTAGGCATATGCAACCATGGATCCACATTTTTTTTTTTTTTTTCAAGGGAGGTGGTCGAAGAGGCAGACTTTAATATGGTCACTGATAATTGTGACTGTACTGGTGCTTATGATCAATTATGGCAGTAAACTTACTTATATCTAGGTGAGCAGTCTAACGACATTTTTTTGTACTTGAAGCATGGCAATTCAAGCGTGCCATCTTACACCTATCTTGGCCCTCGATGTAATATATTTCCTGAGGAATATGGGCACACCAGTAGTCCATCTTTTCGTTAGTTTGACTTCATACAAAGAGGAACAAAGCTATTTTAAAATACAGAGGCCAACTGATCATGCTGTAGGACTGAAGATCTAATGCCGAACATGGCTTGCTACAATAATTGCACAGCCTTTCTTGCCACTTCAGAGCAAGAGAATAGGGAAACGATTCTCGACTTAGGCCGAGTGCATGCATGGGGGGGGGGGGTGGCGACGTCATGGCACTTTTGACCACATTGCTGCACTGAACCTGCATGCACGTTCTCAGCATAAAAAGAAGGTGTATAAAATATGCAGCGAAAAAAAAACACAATTGACTAGCCTAAGCTTGCGTATGATCATGTTGAGATGTTTCGGAACAATGCAAGAAATGCGTACCAGCATAAGTATTTAGACAGTGTCGATCAGTTGACAAACTGCAGTGGCACCTTGAAAACTCGTAATAAGTCCAAGAGACAAGAAACTCGCTGTATATTATTTTTTTTCCATATTAACTTTTAATATATCTTTTTCTCTCTCCCTGCCTTTCAGTCCCCAATCCCCTTTGCCACGCAGAGTAGCAGGATAGCGATACACAAGCCGGCTAAATTCTCTGCCTTTCAATGACGAGTTCTCTCTCTCTTTCCAGGTACGTCAGGCAGGCAGCTGTGTTACACCTAATTCAAGGGCTAACGTGATTACGATTCATGCACAGACTCCAAGATGTGCGTCAAGAAGTGAGCTTCTGGCGGTAAGCATTAGTTGCGGTGAAACACATTCAGTGTTTCTCGTTTGTGTCGAGCTTCTGAAAGCTTTGTGCCAAACATGATGTTGCGGAAGGAGTGGGAATGGGGGAGGGGAAGCACTGTTTGCTGAGCTCCAGCCAATCGGAGAAGGCCAAAGTGGATGCGTTGAGAATCGCACCCCAGAAACAGCAATGCAAGAGTATCTGGGAAGATTGACACGTGCCGTACACTAGTGCTGTGCACAGAAAATATTAGGTTAGGTTGCATTCAATTGGATCCACATCTGCACATGATGACAGCCTATCAATACAGCAGTAACATATAAGGACACCGCAAAAAGATTCATTTCCAAGTGTGAGGACCAAATGTGAGGTGGGGAGGCAGATAAAATAATGTATACAATATAAGTTGAGCAATACATCTGTTCATGTGATTACAATTGATGACATCTTCAGCCTGACTACGCCCTCTGCAGGGCCTTTCAATGGGCTTAGTCAGGCCGATGATGATGATGACATCAAAGGACGCTTACTTCTGCTTGATGCTGCAAATCTCTTTGCCTCAGCAGAAGTTAAGAAAAAAAAAAGCAGTTCAATATCATGCAGGAACAGGTACATAGGTTTTGCTTAAGTAAGCTAATTTCACATAATGAAAAACAGGCCGAGAGTGCGTGCATTCCCAAGATCTCCTGTCATACATTCCCCCCTTGAATGAAACTTGAAAGCACCACCTGAGAACTGGGTTCTCCAGCTAAAGCAAACTTGTAGGATAACTTCACATTGTTTGAGTTTATTCAGTTATTCCAACAACATGTTGGATAACAAAGACTATATGTGGCTATAGTAAAATGCTGCCGTGAGAAAATTTCCCAGGTTGTTGGTACGCGGCTCCACACTGCAGCTTTGTTTCCTGTTGCAGGTTGTCCACTGTTTGAGGTATGCACACACATATGTACATATGTGCACTGTGCTGTAATTAACATTGTAGTACACCGATTACAGCAAAACAATGCAACACGAACTAATAGAATGTGTACCCCAAGAAGTCCTAAAGACCATCTGAATGTTACAGCTTTTCAACCAAGCGCGATGCCAATGGATTCTCCATTATTCTTTTCTTAAGCATGCCACACTAGAGTGGAGTACAATACATAACTTAGCCATAATAGGCTAAACACTTAAACCAATTCTTAACATCTATGTACATGAGTATGCACACACATGAATACATACGTGCAGACGAGAGATGCAAGTGAACTATGAAGCAGCAGTTTTCTGGAACATGAACACAAGAGGAAAATATCTCTGTTTTACTTTGTGCACTGGTTTCTTTTTTGACAGACTCGCATCTAACGTCAGTTTGTACTTGAATATGCAGCAGTAAGTAGACAATGGGTGCCTTCCTTGAATCGTTTGATATATGCTCTTCCCTTTGTGAGCTTACGTCGTTGATGGCGCAGTATAACACATCAATGCAATGGCAGTTCCCAGTTAAATAAAAAAAAATGCTAGAAACATTCACCTGCAAGTAGAGATTGTAACATTGTGGCTAACGTAAACAAAGACAGGAACAACAGTTTTGATTGGATAAGTGAGCGTTCATCATTAATACGTATTCATTTAAAGGGACACTAAAGTGAAACAATGAATTGGTTTTGATGGATGTATTATGCTCCGAAAACTCTAATGATGTTAATTTTGTCATCATATGTTTCTCAATAGAAGAGAAAATCAAGGTCAAAGTTTGAATTTTGATTTTCATGCTGGAAGTCTCTGCGCGTACAGATTTCATAGTGTATATTTTGTATTTTGCAACATCATCACTATGAAATTTCCTGAAACTTCACACGTTGAAGGGCCAGCAAACAGGCTCCAACTTTTTCTTTTTTACATTTCCAAACAAGCTCGCCAATTCGTACAGTAGACCGCGGCGATCACATTTGCCAAATATTACAGCGCTGCGCGCCACACCGCCCCTCCGTTTTGAAAAGCAATCCCGCACTTGTTTCCCTCGCCTGACCGATCCCCCTGATATGCGCAGTCTGACGAAAGCTTGGCCGTGGGAAATGTTACAGCATCACTGAGCTCGCCGACTGGTCCTCTTGCCCTACGAAACAGCACTTTGGCCCTGTAGCGATGCAGTTCCAGCCGCGCAGTCCGCATTTTAATTTTTCTGTGCTGCCGTTTTGTAGAGCCCGAGACTTCGAGAGAAGTGGTTTTGTCAGAACGAAAGCCCTGAAGATAAAGAGGTGTCTCACTACTTTACTCCGAGGCAAAAAGTGCTCCTTGCTCGCTGTTTGCTGCCCACGTTGCTATGCAAAGTGCCCAAGTGAGGAAAGACCCGCACGGTCGTTAGTTGCGTGCCGATGATGTGCCGCAGACGTCGTGTCGCATTGCGAAGTGGGCGGAGTCACGACGACAGGCTACTCCTTGACGGAGAAAGGTGGCAAGCATTCGCGCGAAAATTTGAAACCGGCTGAAGTGCATGTTCTAACCCCCTTAACTTCTTTTATAGCATGTGTTCGCAAGATTATGGGGGTCAGCATGTTCACCTACTGAAAGCGCTGCATATTTCTCTTCATTAAAATTTTTGGACCTTGGGGTTGCTTCTTTCAAGTCTCTGGCTCCCTAAGAGGGCAATGTATTTACATTTTACCAATTAGAAAGGCTGTACATCCTAGCAGACACTGTCAAAATCTACGACACCACGGTGATAGGTGCTGGAAGTTGAAGGTGGTGTCGCTACCCACATTTTCTTTTGTGCGTTTTCTCGCTTACCAAGCGTGTTCTCGCAGCGAGCGGCGTAATTTCAGTATTGTGGAAGAGTAATTTACTTATACAAGAAAAATCGTTTTTCTCTTTAGTGTCCCCTTAAGATGTACTATGCCACGGCACCAACTTTACCTAATGCCAACAACTAGAGTTCAAGCATCGCGGGATAAGACGTCGCTCACTTTTAAGTGCTTTGCGATAGCAGCCCAACAGTCAGGACCAAGCTTGTCGATCTGTGTGCGTTGTTCGGGGTAGCACTCCAACTTGTGGCGGACAACGCAGTTGATAAAAAGGTAGTTTGTGTGAAGGAAATGCCTGGCTGCCTTGACGGCACATGCCGCTTCCACTTCGTTCATCTCAGCCTCCGACTGCAATGCCAAAATCAACGACGGCTTTTGACTCGAGGAGCTCAAACGACTCGGCGAACCGCTTGCCTATGTTCCGCCTCAACACAAAACGAACTGCACGGTGCAGGCACGTCAGGTTCCTCTGAACAGCAGCCATCGCGGACAGTGTCGTGGGGTTCATGCGCACATCGGTGATGAACTTGTTCTCGACGAGTCCGTGAGACACGGCGTTGAGCTGTTCGGGTTCCATTTGGGGTAAGCTCGACAGGTGGAAAGTGCACAGGCTCTCGTTGGACTCCAGCAACAACGAATGAGTTCTGCGGACATGTTGCTCAGCTCGCGGCATTCCAGCGTGAGTTCTAGTGCGGAGTCGTTCGCAGCGAGGCCCTGTGCCACCATTGCGGCGCAGTTGGAGTCCAAGAAGCTCTCGTGCAGCGTGACGGATTGGAATGACTTGTTCTCCTCGAGCAAGATCAACAGGGCCGTCATGTGCAGGTGCTGAGCGTCATTGAAGGTGACAGCTTAGGTGCTTTACGGCGTGACTTGCACTCAATGTTTTGCACAGGGCTACAAAAGATGCACCAGTGTCCTGATCGAGCATGAGATGCAAGTCGGCGGGACACAGGGCTGGTTCTGACACGGAGGTGACGAGCCCTTGGGTGACCACGTCGATGTTTGGAAAGTAGACGCGACTGTACCACCCGTTCTTGTCTAAATCGGCATACAGGGCCAACCTGCATAGAACCAAAAACAATGTGACACACGTCAAGTGTTGCATGAGATTATCTAGAACATGAAATATAAAATGGACTGCAGCAGCTCTGTTTAAAGTTGGAATGGTTCGTCAATGACCTGTCTATAGTTGGATGCTACCTTAGACGGCATATGTAGTTCGAATAAATGTTGCCATTGGAAGACAGCCCTCTGACCTATCTTGCATATTGATTTCTGAATGGGAATTTAACATCAGGCTTTGAGAAACATGTTGATAATAATGTACAGGATGACTAAAATCCAAAAGCCGTTCCTGAAATATTGTGCATTTTCTCCGCAGTTGTGTTTTAGCATACGGTGACTGCACACGATGCCTCACAAAAAGAATTCTAGCGACCAGTCACAGTCTATGTAGCTCACGAACATACTTAATAAGAAAATTTAAGAGAAAAGAAAATAGATCATAGATGATCATGAATACTGAGATGTGCCAATTATTTTTTTTTCCCTCTGCTTTTGTGTCTGCGTTAGTTAACATCATCCCACACACACAAAAAAAATAGCAGTCGAGCAATTCGTTAGGAGCTACCATTGCGAAATGCGTGGGCCGTGCCACTAGTGAGTGATTGGCAGGCCACATGTTTGAGACCCTTGCTCTAAAGGGACATTGAGTTGGAAGAGGGTGATCCTGCTGAATCAACGCTTCGAGAGACGAGCACTCTACAAAAGAGTTATTGCCAATTGAGCCAGTACTTCAAAAAGTAGTTTGTTTTCTTCAAGGCAGCAACTGATGCCTACATTAGAGCATGCATGTGCGTTCTGTGCGATGTGTATACGTGTTGCATGTTAATTAGTGTATGCATGTCCAGTGTGTGTGCATGCCCTAAACTCTTTTTTGTTGGGGTCGGAAGAAGGACCATGTACACCAGGCCTATAGCCGCTGCGGGAGTGCCCTCGAGGCCACCCTCAAAATTCGCATGAAGTTCGGACGACTTCGTTTTACCGAGAATAGACCGTGAAAATATGACCTTTTCAAAAGTTTCAACAAATTACTTCTAAAAACAACCCCTATGCTTCTCTTAGCATCAATGTCTGTTGGTTTCCATTAATTTAGCAGACTATAGAGCATGGTGCCGACACTTTGCAGCACCCTATGGCAAGGAAACACATCTGATCCTCACGTCGCTCATGGTTCGTGTCGGCTTTTGACCAATAGCACGCTATCTGCTATTCAGTGTCAAACAGCAGGGGCTGGCAGTCATGAAAAAGGTGAGCACAGACTTCTGCATGAAACGAGGGCACCTGAGAAAATGGCAACTTTGCATTCTGCGTTCAAACTTGCTTTGTCACGCACGATTTGGCTGAGTTCTTCAAAGCAGTATCTGCTGCCCACCGAATACGTTTTCTCACAAAACCTGAAGGTAAGCATTCCTAATTTTTTATGAGCACAGAGGAGCAAGTAGCGTGGTTTAATTGAATTTTCTACGTATCGAAATAACTGCCATCCAAATGAGACATGCATAGATACTTCACGTGTGACGTCAAAGAAGCAGTTCTTCACAGCTCTAGTGTGGTGCCCGCTGTTACGTATTCGGCGGTCGCACGACAGCAGGCCCAGGAAACGGTCTATCCCAAGCAGTGCCAGGAAGACAAATCCCGCTTAATTCAGTTTGCAACGTGTTTTTAAGTGCTACGCGGCCAATCAGACGTTCGCAGGAAAGGAAAGAAAACAAGATAGCATATCAAGCGGGGCAATCTTAGCGGAAAGCCTCAACATAGAAAGGAGGGCGAGCACTGCATATGTTACACCGCGCTGACGTCATCGTGCCATGTGACCCTGAGCCTGGTAATGACGGTTTTTCAGCTTATCTTCACCATTATCTATTCGCCTCATGGTGCAAGATGCCCTGCCTGCTGTCAGAGTTCTTACTGACTCAACTTCTTGCCTTAGCTATGCTATGGTTCAAACATCAGGCGCAGAAAGCGAGACTTCTTGCAGTAGATTTACTGGCACTAAGAAAGAGTTAAATGATTTGACTACCACAATTTTTTTTTCTCCATTTTCAGACCAAATAATAAATGAAGATGCTTCATGCCTTTGAGAACAAATAAATGCAGTTATTTATGAAGTTCTCAATAGCTTATTCTAGATCGCATATAGGGGCATCTGCGATTAGTTCCAGTAGCGCGCAGCTGGAGCAATTTGTGAAGGCCACATTTATAACGACGAAATCCAAGGGTGGGATGCATAGGTGTGTGCACATTTCGCTAACTGAATTTCTAGCATAGCTTCCACAGTGTTGCACCTGATGTATGACACGAAGTATAGTACTCCAGAATGGCAGCTACAATTAGGTCATCGCGGACTATCCGTAGATGACGGTAAACACTTCAAAGCATCACTCCTGAGAAATGGCACAGTGACACACATGTAAGGCTGTTACCCACAGCCACGTTATGTACAAAATGTGAACATACGTATGTGTGCGATGCCAGAAGTTTGCGCCGAGTTAGGCCACAGCTTGCCTCCCTTACCTATCACTCTTCGATCCCGAGTGGGCTTCGATCATCAACTTGAGCAACGTCGTATTCTGTTTGAGAGTGTTGCAGAGGACTTGCACCTCAGACGCGTCCATACAGCACTGCGACACATCGAGAGTCTCAAGAGTCGTGTTTCTCTGCAGCCCCCTGGACACATGTGCGGCAACACCGTGAAGCATCTTGAAGCACTTGACCGTCAGTGAACGGAGACTTCGGTTCTTCAACAGCACAGATTCTAGCAAATCAGCCATAGTTTGGTCGATGTAGTTAACCTTGTAATCGTCGCCAATGATTACAAGGTGTCTGAGCAAGTCACTGGCTTCGACAGCCATCAGAACGTTAACGAGGGGTTCCTTAGATGCCTGGTAATGCAGCTCAACAAGTGATGTGCTCTGCTTTAAAAGGGTGGCTACTGCCAACGACATTTCTAGTTCGTTTATCCGGTAACGGGTTTCCGAGGAGTACATGTTGCTCTCGCGCTCTGACTGCACCTGGAGTTTCTCCAGGGTCTTTGATGATCGCAACAGCTTGGCCATGCTTCTCAGTGCACTGGTGTTCAGGTTCGGACTGAACGAAAGTTTTCTGAGCTTCTTGCATTTCGATAGTCCACTCACGATGGCTTCTGAGGCGGCGCCGGTGAATTCAGCCTTCGACAGGGTGACGGTGTCGACAGTTGCACGACTGGTGGAGAGAATTTCGCCCACCTTTGCGCCAAAGCCATCGCTTACACGTACATTGTGAAGCTTGAATGTTTCAAGCGATGAAATGGGACCTAAGTTGTCGAAAAGCAAGGCCCAGTCGTAGCTTGTGTCACCTTCGACGAATATGTGGCGAAGTTTTGATGCACGCTGCTTCACACTCGTTTCGTAAGTGATGAAGCTCCGCCGGCAGGGATGGTGTTCTGTGATGCAGATAGCCTCGACGCAACTGTGTTTTCGCGGCAGCCAGGCCATGAAATAGTCGGCGTCGTATCGCAAATCGACGTTTTTCGAACAGGTCTCGGTGACGATTCTGTCTCGTGTGCATAGCTGAAGCTTTCCCAGTTTCCACTCAATCAGATGAAGGTTCATGGGGTTCAGCACGGCATTCCACTTTTCGAGGTCGTCGCATAGCCAACAGCTGTCCTTTGACACCGACTGTGAGCAGTTGCGTTCAAGGTCCAAGCGGGCCAGTCTTTCTTGCAGTGAGTGCATGCCGTTCATACTGTAGGCATATGGATGTTGTTACTGTCACCAACTGCAAGAGAAGTGAGAAAGAAAACAGATGAGTATTGTCAGTTAAATTACTATTGTGGGCTGAGAAAGGCATATTTTTCTAGATGCCCAACAGGCACTCTAATATTTACATTCTTGATTGTGGATATATTACCAGCAGCTGCCAATAGATGTGCAGCAGTCATCTTCATGAAAGGGAACATGCAATCACGTGACAGGTAGCCTTGTACCCCACATGTGGCACACTACGGTGGCCACTTGTTAAAGTAAAACAAGAGAGCAGTGCCATTCCTTCTATTGTCTGCACCCCTTGATACCATTTTCCTTTTTTTTTTTAAAGATCACTTTACCCTGTTTTTAACACAACAATCGAAATCTCCAATAGCAATAGTACTCATTCACAGAAACAACGCTACAAAAGGTGGGCATGAAAAAAAAATGCGTGAAATAGAGACAGACAAAATTGTGATGAAAGAGGAACGCAAGCTTTTTCACTTTCACTACTGTGCCATATGTGCAGTGTGATGATGCCAACTGTACCCGCCTATCAATGCCGGCAACACAAGTGTCAAGTATTTTAGGTTGGGGTGCCACAGTGATGCAAGCAGCACCGAAGGCTAAGGGTGACAATGTATGCGTTTTGATCACTCCCACGTTCATGAGTCCCTCCTCACCGCCTCAACTGAGTTTCCGCACTGACGTCGAAATATTGCACATGAGAATATGCTGGCAGGGTAGTCATTAGTGTGATATCCAAACCATCCAATGGGTGTAGAGTGCAGCCCATTTTTCGATCCGGATATTCTTTGGCCGCACGCTGTCCTGTAATCAGTAATTATTGCGGGAAACTCCCCGCTGACAGCGATATATCCACTGCTTATATTACCAAGCTGTCAGTGGACAGAGAGCATTTTTATAGCTGCCATCTTTCCAGACTAACCGGGACCACAAATTAAAGAAAAGACAAACTCACTTTTATTTTAATCTGCTGCATTTGCGTAGGCAGCCCAGCTTGCACGCACTCTGATAACTAATAGGTTAGGTGGCAGTGCCGGTCAAGCATTCAGTTATTGACTGCTGAACGCACTAAATAGTTTCAAAATTACTTAAGAAAATGCACGCACACTCTCCGATACTTTATTTTTATTTATGAGATACGGCCGGCTGCCTTTTGGGAGCCGTGGTAGGAGTGGGTACATCACATTACAATGTTACACATTGCATCGTTTCAGTCGACAACCGAAATAAAAAAAAAGGAAAAACAGAACAAATACACATATGTCTAATGATATTGACACATGCGGCCGAATGTGAACTGAAGACGCGAACATAAAAAACAAGCCCAACAGCATTTGCAATAATACACTGAGGTAGGACACAGGAGCAAAAACACGTACAGGATCGAGTGATTGAACACCCGAAAGACGCATACAACATTTCAGAACATGAGTGAAATGGCCAACGAAACAAATAAGCATGTGAACCGAAGGACAGCTTATGTCAACAGAAGAATACCGCGAAATAAATGGTTACCCGCATACATTTCAAGCTGTAAAAGAGAAAGAATGACAAGAACTGCGCATAACATCAGAGATAATCTTGCATGGCATTGTGAACGCATGAACTGATGATAGGCCGACTATGTCACATGGAAGCTTTCTACTTTCTTCCAATGCTTAGATTTTGAATATGCTTTAAGCATATCTAATATTTCTCTCTTTATAAAATATCCGAGTTTCAACGTCGGAACTGACTGTGAAAACCACAGACTGTGATCAGTTTCTCAAAAAATGGTGGAAGTGGACATATAGATGTCAGACTCTGCCCAGGCAGTGCTGCGAAAAACGCTGCCATCAGCGCCCTCATCGACCATAAATGGGTAGTGCAAAGAGAGCCGTTTGCTAGCAAACGTGCATAGGCCCTGCTCTTTCGTTGGTCTTGAGGCACAATTTCTTGAAAATCAAGGACCTGGAAAGCTTCTTCCTTAAATCCAACCTCGCCTCACAAAGGTAGGAAACACATCAAAACGAACTGCGGGTACAATGCGAAAGATGTTTCGGTTATTTCGGCGTACTGCAACTGGAAACTTAAGTGTAAGCGAGCATCGCCTGACATCGAGTCTAAGGCAAGCGCTCTGACGTACGTTCTGTAACGTCTAAATGCATTAAGCTTGGACATAAACATGATGCCAAAGCGATGAAGTGCCTACACGAACTATCTATCTTACTATAATTGGTACGAAGCTCCCTTTATCCGGCACGAACAGCCCTGGTGATTTTCATCTTTGCTGTTGCATTCTCTATCGATCTTTCGCTTTCTTTGCGTTGAAGTGTTTTATTACGCATGCTAGCATGCTCTGTTCACGGCTGTCATCCGTTTGCATATACTGCAACTGGGGATATATGCGTGTTCACTTTATCCGTGTGCAATGAAAGGCGAAACTGAGGCCTTCGAGATAGCTCCTGCACTGCAATCGCAGAGACCAACGGCTAAGAAAAAAAAACCCTGGTTGCGGTAGTGATCATATTGGGATCTAGCTGTATGACGTACGTGTTCGCATTTTCTAATTAAAGCCAGAACTTAGAGCCCTGAAAGCACTATGTGTGCTATGCTGTGTGAAGGCGACAACTTCAGATTATCAGTGGCTGCGGCGTGTGCGATGTTATTGCACACTTCGCCTGTCTACTGCTGCAGGCCGTGGACCACGGTCAGAGGCTCCATTAAGCTTCATAATCAAAGTTGCCCCGGTTCTCCGTCAAAACAACTCAGAACAATGAAAGGAGACTTACGTTATAAAACGTTCTCATGCAAACGGCTGTGGAGAACGCGAGTAATTCGCTAACCCAACACGCTCGCAACGGCCCGTATCCAGAGCTCTTGCCGTTCTGCTTTGCGAAACCTGCAGAAATCAGTAAAGCTGAAGATCGTTACGCCCGAGGCAATTCACATCGCAACATTAGCGTTGGCTGGGGTCTTTTTTCATAGAGCGCGGAGCTGTGGCATCTGCTCGTTTTCGCCGTCGTACTGGCGAGTAAACCAGCAAGCACTTCACGGCGGTTCGGTGACGCATCCGACTAGCAAAGAGAAACTTGTAGCTTTCTTTCTAAGTGTTCACTGCGCAAGTACAGCTAATATTTAGCTCAATCATTGTTTTCTATGCTGTAGTTGCACCTGGTTGCGCAGAAAACTGTGCAAGGGAGTTGAGCTTTGCAGTACACAAAACTGTGTTGAGAGGTGGCGCTGGGATGGTCCACAAAACTCCAGGGTCTGGCGTCTCTAACAATATTCTTGTGCGGCGTTTTTAATAAGACGGCGGTGAAGACAGTAAATGAGCACTCTAAGTTTCCGTTCCTGTGCTCATTCCGTAAAAGAGAAAAAAAAAAAAAAATGTCAAGCTGGTGTATTTTCTCACGTGGTGCGCTAGCATCCAGAAAGCCGGAAGCGTTAGGACTCGTCGGTGGCGGTGGTGGGGCGTCGTGCGATAATTTGTGGTTTTTGTTAGCGCTTAGCGATTAGTTAACATGCGATTGATTTCGGGTGCGGTGTGACCAAAGATGCCGTCCGCACGTTGTGTGTTAGCCAGGCATCTTCATGGAGAAAGCGGCTGTGTGTGGCGATACAGAAAATAAATTTACAAAGCCTCAGTTGAATGGAGCCTCCTGTTTTTTTTTTTTAATTACAGAAATCCTCCAGCACCGATTTACCAGCAAGGTCTTCTGTGGACCGAGACATATTTTTTAGAGTGTATGAACCACTTTTTTTCATTGCACAGCACGTGTATTGTTCGCTTGAATTGTCTTGACATGCACTTTGACTGTGCAATCTTGCTGACACAGAGAATGCTCCCTCCCGCACACCTCGTTCAATCGTTCAATGTATGTATTAAATAAGCGAATTGACCCTGTGTTTTCGTCACTGAAGATGCGACAAAAATACAGCGTTAGTGCATTAATCCACCGTCAGCGTCATCCTGGTAAACACTACAAAATTGCAACAGATGGAGAATTCATAAGCGCTTGTATGGTTTTCGCGTAAAATCCATCCTTGCAACGATGTTCCGCAGCTTGCAATAAGCGCTGACGCTCAGCTTACAACGCTTTATTTGTTTGTTTGTTTAGAGTGCGCCAACTCAGCGGTACTCTCCAGTAGGCACCGTTCAGTCGAGTTTTCCAGTCTGACTGCAGCGCCAGAATACATAGCCAAGCGGATAAAAAAATAAACCTTGAGAGGGCATCAGTGAAAATGGAACGCGACGCGCGCGTCTCGCGCCCTGCGTCTGTTGGCGGATTGTGGACGAGATACATGGGGAACGCGAGCACGCGTCCCTTTTCTGTGTGATCCTAACAGCGAATGTCAGAAACTTTGAGACGGGGCAGGGTGAGCAACCCAGCTCTCTCTGGTCAGTGTGCGGTGCCCATGGCACACTTATCAACTCAAACGCCAGCAACATTGCATAAACATACGGATTGAGACCGGCAGGTAAACAAACAACAACCATGAGTGAAAGTCGATGGAAGAGTTGTGCGTGTAAAGTTCTACGTACCGTATTATCGGCGCACAAGCAGTGCAAAACGAGGTCCAAAACACGTTCACCGTGCTTATGCTGAATGCTAAGGACTTGTGCAAAGCTGCAGCGGCTGTGGCATTGCTGTGACCGCCATTTGTTGATGCACAGCCTCCTAGATTTCCCTTGTTTGCCGGATTATTAGTGGTCACTCGAGAAACGGCCGTCGTCGGAACTGCGGTAGTGGCGCCACTTAAATAGGGTTGTCTTCAAATGAGTTTTTTACGTTTTTAAAGCTTATCTTCAACAAAAATAACGTAAAAAGTTTTACAAAAGGCCTAAAAGTAATTATAATTAACTATACGTAAGTGAGGTCGCCATAAATGACAGGGGTTTTCGCTCATTCAGAAGGCAACGCAAACGCCAAAATTGATAATCTTGAAGACCGAGTACAAAGACCCTTACCCCTACGTAGGTAGCGCCGTCTTAGATGACGGGTGTTTCGCACTCATTCGGCCGGCAAGAAAAAATCTAGGAGGCTGTAGTTGATGTTACCACTGTTTAGCTTAGCTATATACACGTCCACCGTCAAAATAAAAAGTGCTTGCAGGCAGCAGCGGCAGCTTTAAAAGTTTCGTTTAGATCCTCTTTTTCGCGGGGAAGCAAAGATTGCTACTTGCGGCTCTTTAGCAACTCAGTTTATGCATGCCCAAATGAAGTTGTGACAGTTGAAGCGAAGCGTCGTCGCGGCGGTCTAAGTTTTGCCAAGAACAAGAAAGTTTTGCCGTCTGTCTGCGTAGGTGTAGAAATGGCGCGCCGCTACCCGATGTGTCCGAGCTTGGTTTCGTCGTGCTGTGCTCATCCCCTCGGTGCGCTGGCCACAAATGTGACGTCTCCAAAGTCGGGCTTGCCGCATTGATTTGGTAAGTTAGGATATTCGATCTTATTTAGAACCGCGTACGCGCATGCGCTATTCCATCACCCCCCTCCTCCCCTGTCAAATAGGCCTAACTGATTGATTAGTTCGATCGCGCGTTTATTTAATGTGGTGCACTTAAGTGACTTTGTCGACCTACTCTGTAACCGAATTTTTCGATGGACTAGTTGATTTACAATCTAAATATTAGTCAGCGCAAATTAGAGCAAAATAAAGAAAGGGGGGACACACACGGATGCGCAGCACAGGTGGGACCTTTGCATATGTGCTTTTTGCTAACCTTAATCAAATTCGTGATATCCTGTATTAATGATTAATTGCAGGGGTGGCGGCAGGACAGCCTTTGGGGGGGGGGGGTGCAGTATAGCGTAGCCAGAAACTTATTTCGAAAAGGGAAGGAAGGGGGAGGGCGTTCAACCATACTTCATGCATGTTTCGTGCGTTCGTTAATAAGTGCATGTGCATAGACACATGCAAAATTAAAAAAAAAAAAAAACTAAGCTTGACGCGCCTCTGCTGGGGGGGGTTGAACCTCTCCTGCCTACGCCACTGGCAGGTAGGGTGAGGGAAGTGGCACTCAGGACGAGTTCCATCAGAGAACTTGCAGGGACAGAAGTCATTCGATCATCGTGCGTGCCTCTGTAGTTATGCACGGATGAAATAGCAGACACCACTAAGTGTCAATTAGCTCGGATACAAAGGAGCATACCAAAAGTTGATATCATAACAATACTATGCTAATTGCATAAACCCAGAGAGAGCAGTCCTATAAGGTATTAAGTTGAGGAAGTGTTTTTCTCTGCAGGTGTACAAACTGGAGAAATGCACCCCTTTTCACCTTGGCCCAAATAACTGAGGCTAGTGTAATCTTTTGCACCCTACGATGAAGTAAAATCAAAGAAGGACAGAAACGAGACAACTCAAGAGCAAACTCATAACTGATGCGAGTTGGCGCTTGTGTTGTCCCATTTCTGTCCCGCTTCTTCGATTTTCTTTCACTGCAGCTCGCAAAAGTTTACACTATGTACAACTTCAACTGAGGCTTAGTTGCTCCCACATTATCACCAAAAGGACAATACATTTGTGGTAGAGTGATTAAGTATTTTTTTTCCGCTTTATTCATCTTTGCAACCTGTACAGAGATTCCACACCGTGCAACAAATGCTTGGCCCAGGCATGGCCCAGCCTTGCTTTTATTCACACGCTAAGTTTTTGTGCTGTAGCAGCTCAATAGATGCGGTATCACTGAAAGTAACGCTCAGCCACTGCCGTGCAGGCAGTGGCTGAAAGAGCAGTGCACAGAAATCGGAAAAGTGGTTGGACCAGATTTTTAGTTACGGTGGTACTGGCGTGTCATATGCAGTAGTGGTAGGTGACGGCATTGAACATTGGTCACATATTTCCTTGTAAGGCATACTTAGCTCATGTGTTCTGGCCCCTGTTAGGTGCCCTTTGACCCTTCTGAAAACTATCTGGTAAATAAGCTTCCGATGGAAAATCCGTTGCTTTTTATAAGAAATTTGTTGCTTCTTCACTCTTGCTTGCTATCTGAGGAAGCTTTTCCTGAAAACTGATGCTCATTGACCTATATGTCAGATAGTGGTTAGTTTTGAACTGTTATATGCAAAGACATGTTGCTCGGATTGCTGGTGTAAAGTTTGCAGTACTCGATTCAAGCATGAGCTGGGGTCGCAGCTCATCTTACAGCTTCATTGGTGGGGCTTGCAGAGTACTCTTAGCCATTTATTTTCCTGAGGAGGCATTCCTGCACTGTTACGGAAATGCCTCCTCTTCGGGATACAAAAAGCAGTGTAAACAGATGCACAGACGTAAGCACATACCGAACACAGACTTGATGCCGAACCTTCCTGCAGCTAGTGACTAACTACTATAATACATCTTTATCAACCTCACTGTGAAGTATAAGCACTCTCGTGTCATCAAGCTATATACAGTTAAACCTCGATATAACGGACCTGGATATAACGAAATATCAGTTATAAAAATGTAAGGGAAGAATAGTCTTGAAATAGATGTAGCGTTATAAATGTACCTTTATAATGAATTTTAGGATATAACCAACTTATTTTGTGTAAGATGCAGCTTCGTTATAATGAGTTTGAGTGCATAATTCGATGCTGCATCTATAGGTGCAGTAACAGACAGGCATAAATTATCGTATGCTCAAACTACAGTTGATCTAAGATTTGTCTCATAGATGTCATGTAACAAATGTACTGCCAGAAAAGAGATGCAAAGGACAGTCAAAGTGATACCGTGGAAGGAAGAATGTCGCACTGGCTGCCTCTGTCATAGCGAACCTCAGTGACCTCGATATGCATACTACGTGCCTCCAAAAATAGTGTCTTTTCTTGTAACGACAAGGTTTTAGTGAGCAGATATATAGTGAAGGCATCACTTTTCAGTTTAATGGGACTTCATAGAGTGGCAAAACTGCATGTAGCTTGTGAAACTATAAAAGCTTGTGTGCAGAAACTTTCCACGGCCCAGCCTTTCCAAAAGGTGTGGTACTTATCCGCCCACCAGTGAAACAAACGCCTGAACGGAATAACACTTGTTCACTGCAAAAAAGAGATATGGTGATTGAAGGGAGCGGTGGGAGCAGGGTTCTTCCCAGAAATATTTGAAGGGCAAACATTTTGAAAGGGGGGGGGGGGGGCTTTTAATTTTGAGTTTTCAGACTTCCCGTTTGTGATGCACATTCATTTTTATTTCCTGTTGCACACTTCAGGCAATCCATGACGCACATAAAAAAACGGAAGCAAGGGAACTTGTGTCTTAGCACTGACTATGGAGTTGGTGATCTTTGAAACCATAGGAGGACGTGCTCAGACTCCTTTTTGCATAACCAAGTGGCGGTAAGCACGGCTTGCTGGCGTTGCACGTGCATTGTCACTGTTAATTGGTTCCTCAGCGGGGCATTTCAATAAGGTCAATCGGAGTAGTGGTCAGTCTGCCGAAAGCAATAGGACTTCGTGGGCGGTGCTTCCACCACCACCCACCGTGGGGAGAACCCTGCTGCCAATTGATGATTGGGCAAAAGAGACGCATGTACAGGTTGGTAAAAGGTGTGGGTGGGAAAGAGGAATATTCACTTCACCGCTGCAGCTCTCCAAGTGGCATCACTGCACTAGGAAAACCTGTGTAGTCGAGGCAATGAGGTGGGGTAAGGGGAAGAGGAGAGGAGTAGCAGTTGTGTTCTGTAGCTCGGCACAGTCCCAACTTTTGTTCCTCGTCATGCTGCGGTGCTCCATAGCATAACACTGACTACTTGGATGGTCCCTTGGTGTTTTGTTGGACGGTGTTCAGGCGCAGCATGTGGAGCAGGTCGGACTTAGCGTAGTTGCACATCTCGCAGTATCCGGGAGGTCCCTGCGGTCCCGGTGCTCCGCGGGGTCCCGGCGGACCCATGCGACCTGGGGGTCCCCGCTCTCCCGGCCGCCCAGGGTGGCCCACACCAGTCGGACCCTGAGATCCTGTTGTTAATAGTGGGAGTTAAGGAGGGATGAATATCTCATTAATTATAACTGTTAATAATATCTGGAGTCAGTGGCGTAGCCAGGGGATGGCATACTAGGCCCGTGCCCCCCTTCACTATAAATGAACAAAAAAAGAAATGTTCATCAGGAGTTCGTGTCTTTTCTTAGACGCACCCTGATGAAAAATTTTATTAGGTTGCATCTAACAATTGAATGAGCCCATAGTAAATCCCTCTCCTCCTTTTTTTTTCATTAATAAGAATTGTTGTTGGATGTTGGAAATGAACCTATTTCACTGTGCCTGTGTGTTAGCATTTCCTAACATCACCTTTATGTGAGGAATTTCAAAGTATTTTTCCATATCTGAGCCATTGAGGCTGTCTAGGAGTTTGCATAACATGTAATGCTCGAATTGTGGTTTCTGTGAACGAGTACAGTGCAGTGGTAATAATTCAGCAAGTACACTCTTGATTGAATTCGCTCAGACTTTGCAGATTGGCTCTTGAGTCTGCACAAGTACGGTTGATTAAAGTTCTGACAAGTCTGAATCCTAGTGATCCTTGCTGAGCGTAGTTCTCGTTAGCTTGAGCATGAATAAGCCTGGTTTAGCAGGGATTCACAAAATTTGGATCTAAGTAAATGATTAGTAAAGTTAAATTGTAGGCTTGTACGAATAGTGGATTTTAGGTCTGAAACGAATAGTGAGTTTGGTTGAATAATTTTGAATTGAATTCGAATAGTATATATATGACATATAAATAAAAATGGGCATATTTGTTACTACCTAACTAACATGCACTATATTTTTTATAAATATTGAAATTAGGCCTCTGTGCAACTGCTTTTTTTTTTCTTTCAAAGGACGTCTAAACAACTTTGAGTAGTAGCATCATTTTACTTTTGGTAGGATGCGAGTGATAACCAGTAAAATACATAAAATTTTAAAATTTATTATACCTGGAGCATATAAGCCATTATAACAAGCCTCCAAGCTTACCTACACAGAATGAATCGATTTGAGGGTAATATGCTCATTTAAAGGGGCCCTGCAACTCTTTTTCAAATATTCATGGAATGTGTTCATTAAAGAAGCTTATTGTCTCACGAATTCACTGCCTCAAAAATTTTTAGAATCTGGCCAGTTCGAGTGGAGTTGCAAAGATTTGTCGTACGCTACAATCGCATTTTCTCTTCTCGTCCCTAGGAGTGTTGGGGTGATGGTATGGGAAAAGAAAATATGTCACGCGCGTCTCGTGACCTTGAGCTCTTTTTTTTTTTCTTCGAATATGTGGCTTTTCAGTGCGATCGCAAATGTACGCGTGGACAAGTGGCGCCCTTCCGTGGCGGCCCCAGTAACGACAGAGCGCGCCATGCTCAAAAAGCCAATGGCTGATACAATGGCTGCGATGAGTGATTTTGAGCTGCCGAGAGAAGAGAGCAATTTTTAGCTGACTTTGAGAATTTACTGTGGATTGCAGGCTGGGTGCTCTACTGTAATATTTGGCTCGTGTGTTCTCGGGAGCCTCAATACTGATTGGCAGTGTTTTTTGACAACGCTCAAAAAGTTTTTAGAGCCATTTTTAAATTTGGAGTGTTGCAAAGCCCCCTTTAAAGGGCCCGTAAACCACCAAGAGGCAGAAATGTAGATGTGACGTTGCAGTTGTGTACGAGTATGCAGTGAACACTGGTAGAATTCCATGCGTTTTTCCATTTCGCTCTTTCCTTTGCCAGGCTGCGTTCATGGGCTGGTTTGACAACCTCTCCTTGTGTCCTTCCTCAGCATTGGAGGTTGAAACTCAGCAGGCGCGTTCATGTGCTAGCAGAAAACAAGCTTTCTTTCGCTTAATGACACCGTCTTAGGTACACAGCGTCGTTTGTATTGTACGCAGTGTCAGTTGACATCATGCCAGGTGTTCTTGATAGAGGAAAGGCATAGAGAGCAGCGCGAGATCGGCATTTGTTGGTGGTTTACGGGCCCTTTAAATTTGAAGTGGGGCTTCGTAACAGAGCAGATTCTTTTTGGATTGGTGCTTTCACGGTTTAGCACTCCTACACTGCAGTAAAACCACTTTTACAGGCGGGTATTGCGGACCACTTATTTGTTCATTGCGAATACTTCGAAATTCTCAATTTAAATTCGAATTGAAGCGACGTGGAATATTCCAAGCATTCGAATATTCACACAAGCCTATTAAATTCTATCCTATAGCGAGTATAAGGGAGTTTCGTTTGTTCTGCTGACTAATGGTAGTGGTACGTCTTAGCAAATGAACAATGACTAGGCCATGACATATTAACTGTACATAAACGTTGGAGATGCATTACTAGCTGTCTTCTCAATGTTAGATAAATATTTCAGCAGCCTTTTGTGCCTTCTCTCTTGCTGCAAGTAAACTAAGCACGGAATCCTGCAATTTAGTTTACCTGGAGGTCCACGGGGGCCGATGGGGCCTTCCACGCCAAGTCCCTCTGGGCCACGATCACCTTTCTCGCCTCTTTCACCTGTGTTACATCATTTGATGGTGAGAGGAATACCTCTTTAGTTACTGCATGCTCTGCAGAAGCACATCTCATAGATGGGTGCATGGTGGCAAACAAATGCTAGCACACGTAGAATAGTGGCTGTTTTTTTTAAATGCTGATTTTAAGTTTCCTGGTTGGCCACCTGACTTGGTAGCTTAGGAGTCTAATGCCTGTGCTTCTACATTCAAGGTCGTCTCACTGAAGCCAGCCACTGTCACCTATAAAAATACTGTCATTTATGAAAAAAAAACACTCCTCTATGAAATACAGTGTGAGGTTTCAAGAACATTGCTAAATGAGGATCAATGTTGCATGTACTATAGCACAGCGCTTTCAGTGCGCAAAACGTTTGCAACAAGCAACATTTTTTTTGTTCATACTTTAGGAGGCATTGCTTGGAATGCGTTTGCACTGACACTTTCAGCTGAAACAGGTATACTTACAGATCATGATTTTCATGAGTTCATTGATGCTTTCCATTATCGACGAGCGAAAAGAGAATTGTATCAGCCAAGGATCAGTCATACCCAGTGATTCTGAAGTGCCTTTATGGCAGATCAACACAAGAAGTTATAACTTATCAGTGAAAATCATTATTATGAGTGGTAAGCTGGCTTGTATGTATAACACCCGTGTTTTTCTTCTTTTCATTTTAAACTAGTTCTAAGTTTAGCGGCTGTCCTGCCGAATTGTTTCTGCCTTTCGTGAATTGTTTCCGTGTGCTGCTTCACACGTTAAAATAAGTTACAATCGTTGTTTCTCCAGTTGGACAAAATGAATAGAAGTATTATAAACGCTGTTGGTCAAATTCACCAGTGGGACCAGGTAGTCCTGGCGGTCCTGGAAGACCAGGTAGCCCCATGAATCCACGCTCCCCCGGCAGTCCTGGTGTGCCCGGGTCACCTGGTAATAACAGGCATGGTCAGTGTGGTCAGTACACTAGTGAGGCATAGGCCAGCATTACCGGATTTGGGTGCACTGCCATCATGCATTTAGTAAATGGGATACGTGAATCCAAGCAAGACAAATGTTCGGTGTAAAATGGCAGCTCTGGCATATACAAGGAAACACTACTGCTGTTCAAGCAGTCGAGGGAAAAAAACTTCTTGCACCTCTGTTTTTGGTTGAAATGTTCAAAATGTCAAGTTTGTTATAGCTACGTACAAGAATAAACAAAATACATTTTTCTTAATGGAGCACCAACGCAAAATTTCGAAGGCGAGATAATTAAGGGAGATAGATTTATGTAGAGACATACACAACATTTCTGAAATATCAAGGACAAATATAGCCTAAAACATATTTTCAAAACCAATTTTAAAGTGTGCACTGCGCAACTGAGACAGATGCGGAGCACCTCGCAAGGCCAACATCAACGTGATATCAGCATAAACAAACCTATGTCACCAGTTTGTATTGCCTGGTCAGTGCGGTGCCAACATCGCAAATTTGCGTGATCACGGGGCCAGTTGTATTTACCTAGCCACCATAACTGCTCCTGCTTAGCTTGGTGCTCTTTGAAACCGACACTGCTACTGGTTCGCCCTAAAAATGTATTTAAATAAAGGAAAGACGTATACATTTAAGAACTCGTTATTCGAAGGTCGCAGGTTCGGTTCCTGCCCACTGCAAGTCATCTTTTCATCCGCTTTTCTTTCATCACATTTACAATTACAATTACTTCTGAACGTCTCTCATACTTTCCTTGGCATGATTGTCTATTAGATCTCATTAATATTGTGTCTAGATGAATAAGCATCGCGCATTCACACTACTGAGGTTTCCGTACATGATAAGTGGGCTATAAGCTACCGATAGTAATGACAACAACAACAACAACAACAAAAAAATAACGGTGTAAAAGTTTTATGCTGGTGCTCCTTTAACAGTTGTGGCAAAATGAATCAATTAGAAAGCACGGAAACTCCAAACTTTCAAGGTGGCAATATCTTCCTCTGTTAGGAGTAGCCAATAATTTCTTTTGTATTTACCTGAATGGTTATCATTATGCTAGTTAAAGGAAGATTTCTTCTTAGTATATTTGCTTAAAAATGTCGCAAGCTTTCACTCACACTCTTTAGCTCAATCAGTTCTTTTGTGTTTTAGTCATATTCCAATTTCACTGGCTTTCAGGGCTGCAAAATACATTTTTATGACGTGAGAAAAAGAAAAATCACTTACTTGAGCAATATGTCAACCGTTCTGATTAGAATATGGTGACACAATGTCTGCTACTGCCTGCATTTTCACTGGATGACTCAATGAACACTGACGAACCTCTGGTACAGAAGCTTTGTGCTAGAACTAAATTTTAAGGACACCGTAGGGATTTGTGATTGCACATCCGCTTGACGTAAACTGTGCATGTCAATCATTTGCCAGCACATTGATCCTGTCATGAAAATGATAGTCTTTATTGATGAATTTGTGCACCATCACATGTGACAAACAAATAGCCGCCAATATTGTAACTGTGGCGGCATTACAAGAACGATTGCTTTGGGCCATTGCAGTGCACTTGTGCACCATGCCGTCATGAACGATAGATGTATTGTTCAACACTTGCTTTGAACTGTTTTTGCTGAGTGCATGCTATCTTGTCGTTTATATTTAAATATGGCTCCTTTATTCCGAAGTGTCTGCTTACTGGTACTTACTGTTGGCGAAGTACGGCTCTATGACTAGGAATAAAAGTGTTCGAAGTTTTGAGGCACATATCGCACACATGTGCACATCGCGAAAATTTTCAGATGCCATTAAGTATTCCAACTATTGTTAAAATGTAAAATTTGTCGTTATCTAGAGGGCAACGAAAAAAAAAGTGTTTTCTATTGATAGGTTGCTGGCTGCATAACAGTGCATCATGATGAACTTTACTGACAGTCTGTGTTCAGGTGCATCCCCTCTTACTGGCACCAGAGTTGCAAAGTAGAATGAATAATAAGTGTGTAGTGCCCTCGTTCGGGCGGCGCGCAAACCGGAGAGCGCGCGATGGCGACAGAAGAAAATGAAGAAGGCGCTAGGCCGTGGCACGTGAAGCCACGGCTCACGTTCCGGGCTGGCATCGGTTATCGTTCAGGCGTGTCTCTCTTTCGCTCCTGTGGCATAAGCCTACAAGTGGTGACCCGGACGAAGACAATGACTGACTCGAATGCACCCTCAACCGAACAAGCCTCACGTCCGCAGGACGTCTCGGCCGTGCAACTGCGTCTCCCATCTTTCTGGCCACAGGACCCGCAAGTTTGGTTTCATCAGGTCGAGGCGCAATTCTCCCTGTATCGCATCGCCTCGGAAACGACACGCTACTACCACGTAGCCTCCGTCCTTCCGCCTGACGTTGCCAGCGAGCTCTCCGACGTCCTCTCCAACCCCTTGGACACTACGCCATATCAGCACCTTAAAACCAAGGTGCTGGAACGATTCATGCCTTCGGAATGCGTCCGCCTACAGCAGCTCCTTGCAGAAGGGGACCTTGGCGACAGGCGCCCCTCCCAACTACTGCGCCGAATGCGACAGCTTCTTGGGAAACACGACGTCTCTGCCCACTCCGCGTTGCTTCGCGAGCTCTTCCTCCAATGCCTTTCTCAGCCGATCCGCCTCGTCCTCGCGGGCGGCCGGCGACGTCAATCTCGACCGCCTGGCGGAGCTCGCCGATCAGGTTCATGAAGCGACCTCCCCATCTGTCAACGCTGTCTTACCACCAGCAGACACAGCGATTTTGCGCCTTGAGGCCCGCATCGACGAACTCGCCGCCTCCATTGCCGCACTCCGGAGCCCCCTGCAGGAGACTCGTTCGCCTCATTGCGGTCGTCGAGCTCTCCCACGCACACGAGGTGCTCGGAGTCCCAGCCCTCCACCCCTCTGCTGGTACCACCGGCGTTTCCGACACCGAGCCACGAAGTATACACCCCCATGTTCGTGGCAGGGAAACGCCTGCCGGGATCACTGACGGTGGCGTGTGATCTCCCTTCTCGTCCCAGCCGCCTTTTCATGGTCACGGACCAGCTATCGGGTGCCAGGTTCCTTATAGATACGGGCGCGGAAATTAGCGTTGTGCCCCCGACTAAGGCTGATCGTTCAAAGTCACAGGGGCAAGTGCTTCGTGCTGCCAACGCCTCGTCTATAGCAACGTATGGGCTCCGATCTCTCACCCTCGACTTCGGCCTTCGCTGCATTTTCCGGTGGGTTTTCGTCATCGCAGACGTGGTTCAACCGATCATCGGCTCGGACTTCCTCTCATACTTCGATTTGGACGTCAGCGTGCGGCGACGCCGCCTCATAGATGGTAAGACTCGTCTCTCCATCTCGGGAGTCCTGTCCGACATCGCTTCAATGGCCATCCGCATGCTGATACCTTCCTCACCGTTCGAAAAAATCTTGGCGAGTTTCCCGGAGTTAACTACACTATGCAACCTTACTCAGCCGCCTAAACATACGGTGACACACCACATCGTCACCCGGGGTCCACCGGCAGCCGCTCGACCACGTCGCCTGTTCGGAGACCGCCTAGCTATTGCTAAACGGGAGTTTGACCACATGCTGCAGCTTGGCATTATCCGCGCGTCGTCAAGCGCTTGGGCTTCCCCGCTGCATTTGGCGCCAAAGCGTGATCCTGGTGACTGGCGTCCTTGTGGGGACTATCGAGCGTTGAACGCCAAGACTGTCCACGACAGCTATCCTCTACCTCACATCCAGGATTTTACATCGCGCCTCGACGGCTGCACAATTTTCAGCAAAGTGGACCTTGTTAAGGCGTACCACCAGATTCCTGTCGAGCCCGCCGACATACCTAAGACTGTCATCACGACGCCCTTTGGGTTGTTTGAATACTAGCGGATGCCTTTTGGACTCCGCAATTCGGCTCAAACTTTCCAGCGGTTCATTTCTGAGGTCACACGGGGTCTTCCTACTGTGTTCGCGTACCTTGACGATGTCCTCATCGCCAGCCGCACACCTGAAGATCATGAGCACCATCTACGCGCTCTGTTCCAACGTCTTCAGCAGTACGGCCTCGTTGTGAACGCCTCTAAGTGTACTTTCGGCGCATCTGAGCTCTAGTTCTTGGGCCATCACATATCATCCAAAGGAATACGCCCTCTCCGGTCCCACGTTAAAGCAATTCAGGATTATCCTCAGCCTACAACACTGCGCCAATTACGCCAATTCCTGGGGCTTGTGAATTTTTCCAGGCGCTTCATACCACACTGTGCCGAACTGCTACGACCGCTCACCGACCTCCTTCGGTCGACCGCCGCCCCGTCCTCCGCCATTCCTTGGTCGTCAGAGGCCCAGGCCACGTTTGCTGCTGCTAAGCAAGCGGTCGCTAACGCCGTGCTTCTTATTCATCCACGCAGCAACGCCCCTACTCGGTTGATGGTGGATGCATCCAGCGTGGCCGTCGGAGCCGTCTTATAGCAGTGCATTAACTCCGAGTGGAGACCCTTGTCGTTTTACTCTCGGAAGCTACTTCCTGCTGAGACCCGCTACAGCGTCTTTGGCCGGGAATTACTAGCCATCTACGCTGCAATACAGCACTTTCGGCATTTCCTGGAAGGATGCTCGTTTTACGTGCTGACTGACCATAAGCCACTGGCGTATGTTTTCCGCACTAACTCATCCAAGTACGTGCCCCGTGAACTCCGCCATCTGGCTTATATATCGGATTTCACGACTGACATCCGCCACGTGAAAGGAGCTGACAACACCGCCGCAGATGCCCTTTCTCGTATAGCCGCGGTTGACTCTCCACCGCCAACCATCGACTGGGCCTCATTCTCCTCGGCACAGCAGGATGATAGAGAGCTTGCCGCTTTTTGGGAGAACCCCCGTTCTCTCCGACTATGCCTGGTGCCTCATCTATTATCATCTGAGCGCTTGTGGTGCGATGTCTCAGCTGACCTTCC